GTACAGCAAAAGAAACCAGCATCAAAATGAAAAGGGAACCCACTGTATGGGAGAACATATTTGCCAATGATACATCTGATAAGGGGTTAATTTCCAAAATATATAAAGCACTCATACAACTCAACAAAAGGAAGACAAACAACCCAATTAAGAAATGGGCAGAGGACCTGAATAGACATTTCTCCAAACAGGACATACAAATGGCCAAGAGACATAAGAAACAATGCTCAACATCACTAATCATCAGAGAGATGCAAATTAAAACCACAGTGAGGTGCCACCTCACGCCTGCCAGAATGCCGCCATCAATAAAACATCAAAAAAGTGCCGGTGAGGATGTTGAGAAAGGGGTACTCTAGTACACTATTGGTGTAAATGCAGACTGGTGCAGCCACTATGGAAAACAGTATGAAGTTTCCTCAAAAAATTAAAAGTGGGCCCTGGCCGGTTTGGCTCAGCGGTTGGAGCGTCAGCCTGCGGTACAGAGAGACCGGGGTTCGGTTCCCGCTAAGGGCACATACCTCGGTTGCAGTTTGTCCTCGGACCTGGTTGGTCATGCGGGTGGCAGCCACTCGATGTGTCCCTTCACATCGATGTTTCTCTCTCTCTCCCTCCCGTTCTATCTGAACAAAAAATGGAAAAAATGTTCTCGGGTGAGGATAAAAAAAAATTAAAAGTGGAACTGCCATTTGACCCAGTGATCCCACTTCCAGGAATAGATCCTAAGAAGCCTGAAACACCAATCAGAAAGACTATTTGCACCTCTATGTTCATAGCAACACTATTAACAATAGCTAAGATCTGGAAACAGCCCAAGTGCCCATTAGTACATGAATGGATAAAAAAGCTGTGATACATTTACACAATGGAATACTATGCAGCTATAAAAAAGATGGTTCTCTTACCCTTTGAGACAGCAGGGAGAGACCTGGAGAGTATTATGCTAAGCAAAATAAGTCAGTCAGAAAGACAAATGTCACATGATCTCACTTATTTGTGAAAATCTAATGAACAAAATAAACTGATGAACAAAATAGATCTAAAGACTTGGAAAAGCAGGGAACAGAGTGACAAATCTCAGAGGGAAAGAGGGGATGGGAAGAGATAAACCAAAGAACTTATATGTATATATGTATAAACAATGGACACAGACAAAAGTGTGGTGAAGGCCTTGGTGGGGAGTTGGGAAAAGGTATGGAGAGAGGTGGGGGGAACATTAGTAATACTCTCAACAATAAAGATCATTTTTAAACATTAATAAATAAAAGTACACTCATAATTTCATGGGAAGAAAAACAATTACAAGTCAAGAATTTTATTGTGCAATAGAAAAAAGCACAATCACCCAAAGATGTATATTTTGAGGATCAATACCAAATGAAGAAAAAAATATCTTTTACAATTTATGTGTAACTACATAATTTCTCCCTCAATCACCAAGAACCAAAAAGAATTAAATTCTATTAAAATAAAATAAAAACACTGAAAGTTAAGAATTCACCCTGAGGATATAACTAAACACTGGTAATACAGTCATTTATAGACAATATTATCATTTGGTCTTTATAATGTATTTTCTCCCTGCTGATACCAGACTGTGGGTTAAATTAGGGGGAAAAAAAGCTAACAATATCTCCTCATACACTATTTCCAAGAACTACTGAGAGTAGAGACCTTTTTAAGGGGAAATATTACAGGGGGAAAAAAAGACAAATTCATCCAATTTAAAAGTACAAATTAGTAATTGCTTAATTATATTCATTTATCATAGTCAAAGCTACTTTTTATTTGATTAGCTTTCTAAATTGAAAGAAAGCAGAAAACTAATCACGTAAACATAATTTGAAGTATACAGCATACAGAAGGAATCATCATAACAAAACATTTTCTATATTCATTTACATAATCTTACAATGGTTTCAAGCTAAAATTTTCTCTCAACACTTTATTATAGTTGTATATATAAATTGCGTTAGCACATCAAATAAAAAGTATTTAGCACACACTAAAATGAACTAGAAGTCGCTTGTTCATCTCATTCTCATTACTTTTAAGATCTTAAAACGTCTATTTGCAAAGTCAGTTTCAGAATTTCTCTAAATTTTACCCTGTAGGTGCAGCTACAATAAAAAGGTGAATAAATAAATAAACCTATTTTAAGGGAATCGACATTTTATTGAAACTATATTAATGTAAACAAGAAATCAAGCATTACATAGAGCAAAAGACCTATAAGTATATTACCAACTCCAAGAAGGAACTTTCCTTCAACTAGTATAATATAAATATAATAATTCTTGAAATAAAACCCAAAACCCAATTAAATATTTTTCTAAAACAGCAATCAAATTCTAGTACTACAGTTGTACATTTCCTTAAAAGTAAACACATCTTTTCATGTCTTCTGACAATTAGTAATTTGCCAATACAGAAGTAACTGCAGTACACTGTGCTATGCTTTATACTTTTTTTATGTCATAACTGTCCTGTAATAATTTTTAAAGACATTACATGTAAGATATTACATATGGACCCACCATCCAATTTAAGAAAAAAGAATATTACCGCTACCTTTTATATCTACTGTGAGTCTATTCCATTCTCTTCTCAGTTCCCTCAGAAGTAATTATTATCCTGATTTTTGTGTTTTTCACTTCCTTTATTTACCACCTATGTTTATGACCCTTAATATATTAATTATTTTGTAGAATTTTTAATTTTATATAAATGGAGCCATATTGTACATACTCTTCCGATGCTTGCTTGCATTGTTCATTATGATGTTCCTAGCTTTAATCCATGTTTTTCCATGTTTTCACTGTAATTTATCTTCACTGCTGTAGTATATTTCATTAAATGATTATATCACAATATATTTATCAATTCCACTGTTGATGGAAATTTTATATTGTGCCTAGTGTTTTGTTATTATATAAACAATTTTGCTATTCATGTTCTTATACACATCTCTTGGGGTGTGTGCGTGCATGTGTGTGTGTGTGTGCACGCGTGCATGCATGGTCTGGCATACAGAAATCCATGTCTTTATCTTTAGGAAATAATGTCAAGCTATTTTCCAAAGTGGCTGTACCATTTAAGTTTTCACCTAGAATGTATAACTATTTTCTGTAATATCTGAAAACACAGTAGGGTTTGAATACTAACAATACAAATCTAAAAAAGTCTATAAACCTATAGCAGGAACTACCCGTCTCTATTTTTGTATAAAAAATAACTTGAAATCCAATAATCAAGGACTATTTACATGTTATACTTGTAAAAAATGAAGTACCCATTATAAATTCATTTCATTAACATGAATTACAGAGCAATAAATGTAAATAATGTAGAAAGTGAATATTAAGACATTAGTCTTCTAGTGAAAAGCCACGTGTATTATTGGCCATGACTGCTATTTTGGAAAAAAAGTAAATATAAACTAATGATATGTTCAATTAGAAAAGGCAGGCAGGATAGGAATTTAGCCATCCCTATATTCTTTACCTTAATGTATTTCAGAAACAACAAAATCAAACTTCTTTATTTTAGGCCATAGTAGTTCATTGAAAGGGTGTTAGAAATTGGGTACTGGAAAATAACATTTTATAAAAATTCATGATATCCCTACTCTTAAAATGCCACATATAGCCTGGGTGGTGTGGCTCAGTGGTTGAGCGTCAACCCATGCACCAAGAGGTCACCAGTTCGATTTCCAGTCAGGGCACATGCCCAGGTTGTGGGCCTGATCCTCGGTGAGGGGCATGCAGGAGGCAGCCAATCGATGGTCCTTCTCATCAATGTTTCTATCTCTCCCCTCCTCTCTCTCTCTAACATCAATAAAGAAAAAATAAAATAAAATGCCACATATAGTTCTCACTGCAGCATTTACTCAAGGATTTAATAAATTAATTATCTACCATGAGCTAGACATTATGATGGATAGTAGAGATATGAAAATTAGTCAGTTCCTATACTCAAAAAGCTTATGATCTAGTAAGTCTCACTATGAAGAATAAGATAGTTGGAGAAGGTTCAGAGATGAATAATTGATAGTAAATAAAGCTTCCCCCCCGCCATGGAATGCTGACTACAGATATTAAGCAATTTTCAAGAAACTAAGACAATGCAGAATGAGATATAAACCTTCTTATATTATTCAAGATTGAGATAATATGAATTTATCTTTATTCAAAAATTTTCCCAATACTAGAATTAAAAGGATACTTCTCAAATTTGGGGATAATTCAACATAGGTTAATAAAAATACTATCTGTATAAAAGAAAGAGCTAATAAAACAACAGGAAGTTATACATATTAAGATGAAAACACATGTAGGTTTTTAAATGTTGAAAATTGATGAAATTCATTCCATAATAATTTTAACAGCACAGCACGAGTCTAAAATAAATGGACCCTCACATATATAGTTCATTCTTCTACACAATAGATTCTGCAATGAAAAGGAATGATCACATAGTATATTCTCAGAAGCCGCTCTCCCTACATCAGTGCTTAAACTACAAAGCTAGTAACTAAAACTCTAGCTCATAACAGGAACTTACAAATTAAATTATTTTTAAACCCTGAAGTTGAACAAGGTCTAAATTTTAGAAATAGCGCTACACCCAGAGGTACAGAAATCTGTTAAAATACAACTCTATAACACTTAAGTGATTTTGGTCACTATCCTACCCCCTTAGTTATGAGCTTTTTATAGGATCTTATTTGTAATATCCAGTTATGAACAAAATAATCATGCACATGTGAACTGGTAGTCATCTTTCATTAAAATTTTATGTAAATATAACACTGCCTGATGGGTAAGTAGATAATTTAAATAGTTTGATTTTTATCTCCCAATTGTCTTCTGGCAATAAGAAGGATATATTTTGACATTAATTCCTTATTTCCATAACCTTAGAAAATAAGCCCCTCTAATCAGAAGCTGGAAAAATGTGAGAGACAAGAAGTTAGAATGAATCATTAATAACATATTTACCGGTTTGATTCGAAGCTGACCACCAACCACCTCAAGAATCGCATGTCTTCTGGACACTCTCTTGTCTGTTATCTACAGTGGGGAAAAAATTAAAATTTCAAACACAGCCACATCCCTAAAAAACAATAACAACTACTATAAAAACATGACTGTACTCATTGAACAAAAACCTAAACAACTCAGAAATTAAGGGACCTGCCCAAAGTCAGAAAGGAATAAATGGCTGAGCAGAGATTCAAGCTTGCTATCTAACAGATCCCAAAACCTACACGATGGTTTCCATTCAAGACTGACATTTAGTGGGGATTCTTATCAATAACATTCATAAAATGGATTAAAAAAATCTATATAATATGTACTTATTAGAAAACATTTCATATACAGGAAATATGGTGTAGGTTATAATGACAAGCGGCTTTAAAAAGCAGTGGTCTAGTAAATGTAAAAGGTAAGACTACAGGCTTTAGGGTCAGGCAGACCTGCATTAGAGCTCTGGAGCCATCAACACTACTTAGGACAACAGGAAGGTAGGAGAGGGAGTAGTGAAAATAAAATGTTTACAGTGAAGAAGAGATTATTAGCATCTAATGTATGTGGTGTGTGTGTGTGTGTGTGTGTGTATTTGCTTCCTGTGTTTGAACCAAGAGTGTTCTACACATGCTCACAATCATTTCTGCATACAAAAGTTAAAAAATTGTTTGCACTTTAAAAGCTAAAATTGTCAATCAAGCCCTCGCTGCATGGTTATAGATACAATAGTTCAGATTATCTTTGTAATTTGTGGCTGATTCATAATGAAAACATTTCAAGCATCAATTTATCATAATTATTTGATCCATCTCATGGTTACCTTAGTATCTTTCACTTCAACTCTGATATTATCTACATCATGAACAAAATTATAGGTAAAAGCAAACTATAGAAATGCCTAAATTCAATTAAACCCATTAGTTCTACAAAACCTGGCAAAAATGTGAAACTGCCAGGAATCACTCCTCATTTTTTTAAGTCAGAGAGCAATTCCACATTTAAGACTATAACTAAAAAATAATAACATCAAGCATCACAACGGAATGAATTCCACATCCATAAATTTTCCACACAGCTGCAAGTTAATATTTAGGACATTTTCTAAAATAAAGTACCTTAGTGGTAGTCCATTTAAAATTATCCACTATTAGCCACAATGGCTAGTTCAGAAAAGTAAATATAAACTAATAATCTATTCTACCAGAAAAGAGAAGATATAAATTTAGAGGTTCCTATAATCTTTCCCATAATGTGCCTTAATGAGCCAAAAACAACAGCAGTTACCTGATAAACCACTTTATCATTTGCATAGAACATTCAGATATGGCTATTATATCATTCAGACATAGTTTTAAGAAATGTAAATTATTCTGTGGCTGGGAGTAAGAAGATTCTATTTCCAACTTGGGTACTAAGACCTCATTGTTAAGTTCAATAATACAAATCCATTTTCTAGCCAATACAGTAATAAACTGTCAAACATTAAACCATGACATATAATGATGGTTCTTGTAATAGTCCAGCTTGGGTTTCTTTTTTTTCAAGCTGTATTTTTACAGGAAGCAACTCTGGACTTTTCCTATCTTTCTTTGAAATAGGCTTAAAAGTATAATGTGACCTCTAGTGGTCACATGATTCCACAACAGTATAATTTCTTTGCAAGCTGTGCATCTCTATAAAACACCAAAAAAGTGTTGTCTTTGAAATTAACATCCCTAAGGCATTTAGCTGTAACTGTCCCTTCTAAACCATACCTCTAAAAAATGAGTAAAATAAAAAAATAATGTATGCTTTCTCAATGCAAAGCTTAAAGGTTTAACAACTATCATTAAAGCTTATTTTAATTTCAGGATGGGGTGAGAAGGGTGGGTGGTATAGGTGGAAGGTAGGTCACATATAGTTGATCATAAATATCTCATGACCTGCTTGCTTACTTTAACAGCTAATCACTGCTCCTTGTGCAGAGTAAATATCCATACATTCTTATTAACATATTAACTGTAACAGCAATTATGTATCAAGACCAAGACCACTATACTTATCATGTATTATCTTTTTTAATCTTCATAAAATCTAGAAGATACTATTATCTTCATTTTTATATGTGAGAAATGACAGTACAGAGAGATTAAGCAACCACTTAAAGTCACGTAGCCAATAAGCAGCGGAACCAGGATTTGAACCCTCAGAATCTGACTCTAGAGACACCTTTGCTCTTAACAATATACTGTCTCCCTCATTATCATTAGGTAAAAGGTCATTTTTTAGATCATTTACCAGAAGCTTAAACTAAGCTTCTTAATTCCCTAAACTAGAACCTATGAATAAAACTGGAAATAAAGCAGCATGGCTATTTAATCAGCAAGTAAACATTCTGAGAAAATTCAAGCTCTAAATAAAGCTCCAAGAGGCCTCGAGCTATCATTTGGTCCTGATTATTCTAACATCATACCCAAGGTTAACAAAATGTGTTATCTAAATTCCCAATTCTCTATTCACAGTAGAAAATAAAATGGATAGGGTTTCATAAGCAATACACTGATAATGTGGGTGGGGAGAATGATTGATGTTGGTCAGAGAAAGGCTAATAGAAAAGAAACCCAAGGACTCAAAAAGAATATGCCAGTTAGAGGCTATTGACAGTAGGAACAAGTGGCATAACATCCTTCAAAAGGTACTAAAGATTTACCCAATTTTCGTACTTATTACCAGGAGTCATCAGGTTTAAATGAAAACCTCACTTGTAAGTCAGACATTTTGCATCTTACCATAAAAATAGTTAAAATTGCCCTGGCCACTTTGGCTCAGCAGTTAGAGCGTCAGCCTGCGGTCCAGAGAGACCGGGGTTGGGTTCCCGCTAAGGGCGCGCACGTACCTCTGTTGCAGTTTGTCCCCGGCCCTGGATGGGTCGTGCGGGTGGCAACCACTCAATGTGACCCTTTCACATCGATGTTTCTCTCTCTCTCTCTTCCTCTCTCTCCCTCCCACTCTATCTGAACAAATAGAAAAATGTCCTTGGTGAGGATAAAAAAAAAAAAAGATAAAATTGAGGAATTCCAGTTTCATATAGGACAACTGTAGCCATCTAAATTCTTTTCATACCACATATCCCTCCCAAATCAAATATCAATAAACAAGGCAAATAAAACCGACTCTCTCCCACACCTACAGCACTAGGAGACAAAAATCACCACAAACTTTAATTTACATGTAAGACAGGAAAGAAACATCAAATGCAGAAGATCAAGCTTCAGGACCTATGCTACTGGGGGGAAAAGAGAAGAAATAATATCACTCTCAGAAACAAAGTCATCCCTTGAGTGGGAAATGCTGAAAACATATCTCACATCCAGCAGTTGGGAGTAATTTGGGCATTAATCATAATGGAAAATAACAAAGAATACAAAAATAATCCATTAATTGGTACTGAACTCAAAAAAGGGGCTGGAGTCATGGCTGGGAGGAAAAGCCTTTCTTTATAAAGTAATGTCAACTAATGTAGAAGAAATGATGGAACCAGAAAAATCACTATTTTGTAACCACCAAAGAATAAACTGACTCAGTAAACAAACAGGATGTTTATTTTTCAGGTGAAGGCTTGATGGGAAATAATACTCATGAAGTCTCAAAGCATCACTCCACAGATTACTCACAAAGGGAATGTCCTATTCGCTGGGAGAAGTCTGGCACCACCTTTGTCATCACACTAGTGACATCACCACCAACAGAACAAACCAACAGCTGGGCCTCCTGCTGTGCTGCCTGGGTTCGCATCACCTATGGAGCACTCTTGGGCAGACTGTTTAAGCTGAGCCTAATTATGTGGAAACCACCAGACAAATCGAACGTGTGGTCATTGTACAAAACAACTGGCCTGGACTCCTAAAGCATTAATTAGTGCCATGAAAGACAGAATAGGTCTGGATTAAAGAAGATAATATTTGATTGGATCCTAAATTTTTTTTAATACTAAAAAGGACATTATTGGAAAAGCTGGTAAAACTGAATATGGAATATTAAAATTTATTGCAGTTACAAATTTCTTGAGTGTGATGATGTGTGTATACTTATTTTCTATTTATGTAGAAATGTCCTTGTTCTTAGGTAACGTGTTGACATACTTAGGGATAAAATGCCATAATACGTACACTATACTTTCAAACAGGTTCAGAGAAAGTAAATAAGGCAACATGCTAACCATTAGTTAACCTGAACTAAGGATACAGATGTGCTCATAGTACAGTTCTTTCAACTTTTCTGCAGGTCTGAAATCTTTCAAAATGAAAAGTTCAGAAAAAATAACTAAATTTTCAAAAATGTTGGTAAAGAGTTATCATCAAGTTAACTAGAAAATGTAGTGTACATAATTGCTAAATAATATGATAAATGAAGTATAGTTCTAATTATAGTCTGTCCAGTAAAATTAATAAGCATCTTCCTATTTAGTTATATGTAATTTAACTAGGCACCACAAAGGATAGCCAATAGGCCACAAGTCACTCACAGTGTTTTGTTTTGTTTTAATTTTTACTTTGAAGTGTACATGTACCCTCCATCTCACCAGAACACCCTATAATCTTCCACTGAGTTCACTTCACTTTTTTTTTTCCTTTATTGATTTTAGAGAGAAAGGAAGGGAGAGGGCGAGAGAGATAGAAACATCGATGAAAGAGAACATCAATTGGCCGCCTCCTGCATGCTCCCCACTGGGGACTTGGTCTACAACCTGGGCATGTACCCCAACTGGGAATCGATCCGGCAACCTCTTGGTGCATGGGTCAACACTCAATCACTAAGCAACACCAGCAGGGCCCACTTCACTCTTCATTGCATACCTGGCATTTGAATTTGCAACGCATGGTTTAAACTGCACCTATATTTTTTAGATGCTAATTCTTCACATGTGACACTGTGTACCAAATGCTACTAGTTGCTTAATCAATATTTACTTATTTCTTCTACAGTACTAATAGTGCTCCAATTTGTTCGGGTAAAAATGTGCCCAGTTAAAAATGTCCAAATGCCTAGAATTCTTTGTAGTGATGGATGGTCAAGTAACACAGTGCTAGCAAAGGACATAAGAGGGACGGTGTATTAACTACATTTTCTAGTGTGTGTATCTGCTGCTTTGATATCTGGGCCATTAATGACTGGGAAAGAACTACCCCTCCCAGGGTTATGGGATTCTTAGAGATAGTAAAGGAATGCCTCACCTGCAAGTGCACATTTCATATGCAAACTAACCAATCCAAAATCACACACACACACACACACACACACACACATACACACACACAGCCCATGGCTTTACCTGGCTCTTACACTGCCCTAATCACCACAGGGCTAGGCATCAGACAGCAAAGGGTAGTCCCTACAGCCCAGAGCTCAATAAAATTATTCAAACTAGTCCATCCTAAACCTACTTCCCTGCCTTGACCATTCATTCCCAGAAAACTACAATAAAGGCTTATCCCACCAGTTCCCCTAGCTCTCTCTGCCTTCTGCCTTCCACTAACCCCAGGGCGCTAGTGTGGCCTGCTGCTGTGCCCTTCTTTGTCATGGAAACTGTAAGTTCTAAATTATCGTTTCAATGGCAATCATCTCCTGACCAGTTGGCCTCACCATACCTGCACAAAACCATAAAATCTATATTTTAAACCAGAGTAGAGCTCCTGGAAAGATTGTCTTCCTGAAAAAAAAACAGACCTGGCTCAACTGGCATGCACCTTTGCCTCTGCCTTTCTTTCTTCCTGCTGAAATGTGACAACTCTTATGACTACAGACATGAAAACCATATACAAAGGCTAAGCAAGGAGCACAGGAAAGCCCATTCCTGGAGTAGCTGTGCCAGCCCTGACTGACTGCCCCGAGAGTCTCTATTACAGAAGAAAAATCTATTTGATTAAGCTGTCATTTGCACATTTCTGTTACTTGCAGCCAAGAGCAATCATGATGAATACCCATTACTCTAACAACTGTTATATCGATAATGGACATCTAATAACAAATCCATTTATGCTCAACAAGTTAGAGAACGAATAGTAAGAGACAGAAAAGCTAACTAAATTGAACACTCAAGAGCAAGAACTTTCTTTAACATTAAAAGAACTGTGTATCATATGGCAGGAGCTCCGAAAAGAGCCCTGAAGAATACACAGGCTGAAGGACAGTGCCGCAGTCACTCCTATCCTGTTAGCAGCAGCTAAAATGATAGCAGGTTTTCTTCGGGGACTATAAAAATACCTTTTTACTTGAACTCTTCATATTGTTTCTTGAATGGGGACAGGGCTCTCTGTCTTTATATCACTTTTGTATTGATACAATGCAGTTCCCTTATCTTTGATTTTCTGGTTTTGAACTGAATGTTTTATACATTATGATGTATGTACAAAAGTTTGTGCCAGAAGAAAAGATAGAGACATAAAAACATAAAAGAACTGTTTGTGACCTGTTTGCCACATATTTATTTTTGGCATTTACTGAAGCCAAACAAAATGAAGATTTTCTTATGTTCCCAGAAGAAGTGCTAGGATGTTTTGAATTAAGGTCTCTAACCTATTTGTTTATTATTTCTAAAATTCTAAAAATAAACCTGAATAAAGTAAAAACAGAATAGCTACTGGACCCTGAAATAAAATAGAATGGTACCTTTCATTTCATTTTTGCCTATATATATTCACTGAAAAACCGACACCCTTTAATTTTTCTTAAGATGTTTTCCCAGAGAAATTTCTGAATATCACACACAGATATCATGAATTCAATGTTCCCATTTAGCCTGCTTCCTATAAATGTGCAAACAGAAAAGAGGTAAGATTTGTTTGTTGTTTGTTTGTTTTCAGTATAAACTACATAACACACCAAAGGCTAAGATAATAACAATTTCCTTGTACATGTATGTACCAAAAGGTCACCAGTTGGATTCCCAGTAAGAGCACATGCCTGGATTGCAGGCTCAATCCCAGCAGGGGACGTGCAGGAGGCAGCCAATTAATGGTTCTCTCTCACGTTGATGTTTCTATCTTTCTCCTCCCTGCCTCTCGCTCTTAAAAAAAAAAATCAATAAAAACATATATATATTTTTTTTTTATCCTCACCTGAGGACACTTTTTTATTTTTTGTTCAGATAGAGCAGGAAGGAGGGAGAGAGAGACATCGACGTGAAAGGGACACATCGAGTGGCTGCCACCCACACGACCAACCAGGGCCGGGGACAAACTGCAACCAGGGCACGTGCCCTTAGCGGAACCGAACCCAGGTCTCTCCAGACCGCAGGCCGACGCTCTAACCGCTGAGCAAAACCGGCCAGGGAAAAACATATTTTTTAAATTTCCTTGTACAATATTTTATTATTTACAGTGCTTTCACATAGGATTATCTAGCTTGCTCTATCAAAAACAAATAAAAAATAGACCAATTTAAACTTTCATGGTAGAGAAAAATAGGGATCTGAGCTTGTATTATGAGAAAATGCCCAAACCTAAAGAAGCATGGGATCTATTTTAGGCATAATATGCATAAAATTCTTTCCTCAAACTGTGTGTGTGTGTGTGTGTGTGTGTGTGTGTGTGTAAATGAAATCTACAATTAAGATCCAAATTGAATAGAGACTGGTTACTATACAATATTTACAAGCCATAAAATTTTCTTATCTAGAGAGCTTCCCAGTATCAGGTCCTGCATACACTCCAAAGTTCAATCATCAACACTGAGACTCTACCATAACATCAGGTAAGTTGATCTTATTCCTCAACAGACAAAAGTTAACTGATACAAGATGTTTATTATTATTATTTTTTTTGGTCAATCCTCAACCGAGGATAGTTTTCCATTGATTTTCAGATAGAGTGGAGGGGGGGGAGGGGGGAGAGAGAGAGAGAGAGAGAAAGAAACATCAATGTGAGAGAGACACATTGATTGGTTGCCTCCTGCATGACCTCGACCAGGGCCAGAGATCAAACTTTTTACCCAAGAACATGCCCTTGACCGGGAATTGAACACTCAACCCTTGAGTCCTCGAGCCAACACTCTAACCACTAAGCCAAACTAGCCAGGGCAACATGTTTATTATTATACTTTGAATTTACCAAAGTTCAATTTCTGATTAAGAAAGAACAAGTTTGAGAAAATATACTTGATTTTGGCCAGAGGCTCTCTAGACAGACTCCAATATACAAATAAGCTCTCTTTAAAAGAATGTGAAGTGTTTTTTGAAATTTGTGAAGACACTTTTCCGTAAGAATAACAGTATAAATACTAAGGTTATCAGGTGATCTCACAAACTCCTGTTTAATCCACAATACTGATGAAATATGGATCATTTAGATTTTTTAAAGTAAATTCCAATACTTGATCTCCTAATTTAACATTGTTGAATTGTTAGCCAATATGATGGAACTGTGCTGACTTGCTGCCATTAAAATTTCAACTCACCCAACCTGTTTGGCTTGGAATGCTGCTTGCAGAGTGGATGCTATACAAGTATAAGAACATCATCATCATCATTAATATATTATGATAGAGGCAACAGAGTGAGTAAAAGCATAAGCAGAGCTTAGGAAGACAAAACTGCGTTTAAATCCTCATTTGGAACCTCAGTAAATTAAAGTTTCTTAATTGTTACTTATCTAGTTCAGTTCAGCAGATTTCTTTTTTTTCCCCATGTCATTTATTTCTACTCTGACCTTGACTATTTCTTTCCTTCTTCTTGCTCTGGGTTTTTCTTTTTGCTTACTTTCTAGTTCCTTAAGTTGTAGGGTTAGAAAGTCAATTAGGAATTTTTTTTTCTTTCTTTTTTTCTTTTGTAACAAATGTTTCTCCTTTTCCCCCATTAACACCCTCCTCCCAATCCTAACCTGCCCCCCACAGCATTGTTGTCTATGTCCATGGTTACCCATACATGCATATAATTTTATAATTTCTGTGGTTTATCTCTTCCCTCTTAACCGCATCCCCCTCTTCTGAGGTCTGTCAGTCTATACCCTACTTCTATGTCTCTGGGTCTATTTTGTTTATCAGTTTGTTTTGTTCATTATATTCCACAAATAAATGAGATCATGTGATATTTGTCTTTCTCTCATTGGCTTGTTTTGCTCAGGATAATACTCTCCAGGTCCCTCCATGTTGTCTCAAAGGATAAGAGATCTTTCTTTCTTACAGCTGCATAGTACTCCATTGTGTATATGTACCACATCTATTTTATCCACTCATCTATTGATGGACACTTGGGCTGTTTCCAGATCTTAGCTATTGTAAATAGTGCTGCTATGAACATAGGGGTACATATATTCTTTCTGATTGGTGTTTCAGGCTTCTTAATGTATATTCCTAGAAGTGGGATCACTGGGTCAAATAGCAGTTCAATTTTTACAGCAGACTTTTCTTAAAGACCTACTCTCTGCCAAGTATTCATCATAGTGTGTCTAGAAGCGGTTTCGAACTCTGATTTCACAACAGAATCATCTTCAAAGCTTTTAGAAACACAGACATCCAGATACTACCTACAGAACCACATTATCAGAAAAAGGAGCTAGAACAGAAATATAGAGGCATATGAAAAGATGGCATATTCGGGTTGAGCAGTAGTACATGGCAGATGATTATATGTGTGTGTGTGTGTGTATACACACACCTATATATATATGAAAAATAATTCACTTCATACCTATTAGAACGGTCCAAATCCAAAACACTGACAATATCAAATTCTGATGAAGATTTGGAGCTCTCAGTCACTGCGGGTGGAAATGTAAAATGGTACAGCCACTTTGGAAGACAGTTGGCAGTTTCTTACAAAACTAAACATATTCTTACCATACAGTCCAACAAGCACTCAGTATTTACCCAAATGAACTGAAAACTTATGTCCACCCTAAATGCTACACATAGATGTTTATAACAGCTTTAGTCATAACTGCCAAACTTGGAGGTAACCATAATGTCCTTCAGCAGGTAAACGGATAGACTGTGGAACATCCAGACAATGGAATATTACTCATCACTAAAAAGCCATGAAAAGACAAGGAACCTTAAGTACATATTACTAAGTAAAGGAAGCCAATCTGAAGGTCTGCATATGCATACTATTTGATTCCAACTGTATGATATTTTGCAAAAGATAAAACTATAGAGACAGTAAAAGGTTCAGTAGTTGCCAGGGGCTGGGAGGGAAAGGAAGAATGAACAGATTTTCAGGACAGTGAGACTATTCTGTGATGCTATAATGGTGGACACAGGTCATTACATATTTGTCAAAACCCACAGAATGTACACCAAGAGTGAACCCTAGGGTAAACTATGGACTTTGGGCAATAATGACATATCAATATAAGTTCACAGACCATACCACTGTGGTACAGAATGCTGACAGTTGGGGCAGATGGTAGGTGGGACTCTGTAGTTTCCACTCAATTCTCCAGTAAACCTGAAACTATTCAACAAAATAAAGCCTATTTTAAAACAATAATAAAACTAATAAATACTGTAAAACTAATGGCTGTAAAAGTTAAACGGGATTACTGATATATTATCCCAGGAGCCTAGCCAGCACTTAATCCAATTACCCAGTGTGCCTCCAGTTTCAAACCTTAGAGTCTCAAATCATACATTTATTTAGTCTGAAGGAATCTTCCCTCCTACCACCCACTCTCCACCTATCGAAATTCTAGCACTTCACAGTGAGCTCGATACATCACTGACATATTGAAGGAGTAGTCATTTATGACACCACTGTCATTCATCATTGTCCCTATGTTGTTTATCTTACTTCCTCCCCATTCACTCACTCAAGTTGCCTGCCTGGCTCCAGTCCCATTTGAGGTTGGAACCCATTTAATTACTTGCTTCTGTGTCTCTCATACCGATTAAACTTGAAGCTGCTTGAGAGCAAGGACTTGTTTCTCTTTCATCCTTCCCATCTGACTATAGTATACAGGGGTTCGTAAAAGTAGGTCAACAGTTGTGAGTACACAAAACACAAGAGTTTCTTCTTGTATTGTTATTGTATTATTTATTCGTATTATAACTGTAAACTTACTCTTGCCCACCCCAGAATATTCATCCACTATTTTCTGAATTTACTAAAATATTAGTAAAAAAAAAAAAAATAGGAAAAATGGTAACATTGTGAATGTTGCTCCTTAAGTTTTAACAACTGGTAGCATTGCTTCTTTGGTAAAATTCACTTCCAAACTCTATTTCCTTTTTACCCTAAGTTACAAATGGATTCTTCTTGAGGACTGGAAGAGTGAGGGGTTGAGAATCCAACAGGAAGGAAGACATCAGGTGTTGAAGACCCACTATGTGCTAGAGATTGTACTGGGCTCAGTAATTAAGCGAGGGAGGAGCAAAACCCAGCAGCTGGTAGTGCTTGGCACATCCCTAGAGGTAAGCCTTGTTGGACGAGGTAGGACTCGCATTTCAGGTGAGACTGTGCAACAAGTACAGACTTGCCAGAACAGGGCGCAGTTACTTTGTGTGAACTTTGTGGGACACTTAACAGCATTCAGACAAGTGCTGAACTGATGCCACTAGAAGAGTCTACATTAAAGTCCATGACTCCCCCCATCCCCAACTGGGGGCCTCTTCTCTTCTTAACTAAAGCAGTAGATTTACTCTTAGGAAGTCTCACTAGATAGATATCTGGCACTGTCCTATTTCGTTGGAGGAAAATAGATCATAAAGGAATGCCATATAACTCAAGAATGTCATCTAATTCCTGCTTTCAAAACAGAATAAGAACAATTTGAAATCAAAAGCAGTGGTTTTCATTTAAGAATATAATAACTAATCATCTTTCGTAGAAGAAAAATCATAAAGCAAATACTTTGACCTAAAGGTACTGTGTTGTTTGAGATGCTGTACTGTAAATCCTTTTTCTAATTAATTTTGTTTAAGACAGTTATAGATTCCCATTTAGTTACAATATGTAATACAGAAAGATCTCTCATACCATTTCCCCAGTTTCCTCTCATACCATTTCCCCAGTTTACCAGAATTAACATCTTGCAAAACTATAGTACATAATCACAATCAGATACTGATACTGATAAGGTTGAGATACAAACACTTCCATCAGCACAAAATCCCCACTGTTGCTGTTTTATAACCATACCCATTCCCTCCTGCTGCTCCCCCCCTTTTTAACCCCTGCAACCACTAATCTGTTCTCTAATTTTACAATTTTGTCATTACAATAATGTTAAGTAAATTAAATACAATATGTAACCTTTGGGATTGGCTATTTTCACCCAGGTTAATTCCCTGGAGATTCATCCTGCTGTAAAACCTTTTAATTTGTACATATCATGAAATATAATTCCAATCTAGTGATGTAAACAAAGACTTTGAGTTCACTGATGACTCACACTAAAGCAAAGGGCACAGAAAGTAAATCTCACTCTGCTCTGTTATATATGTTTTCCTACCACTGTGAAGACATAGACATTCTTGCTGTCAAGCTGTTTTATCACCAAGACTATTTTACACATTGAAATTATAAACCTTGAAGCTTGTGTGGTCATAAAGTTTTGTGAAACTTGTCTCCAAAACAATATGGCTAGTTAAATGAGTTTTAAAAATCATCCTATTATTAATCATTTCATATAGATACAAATTTAAAATGAACTTCCTGATGAATACCTGCCAAACTTGGCAATATAATCCCACCACTGGATTTTGCTTAAAAAAAAAAAAAAAGGTAATGACTAACTTTCTACTCCTTACCATTTTCAAAACCACAAACCAAACAGGCTCGTTGTACAATAACAAACCTATAGCACAAAGGATCAAGCTATAAATAATGAAGTGTCTGTAACCTGTTACATGTTTATAAAACATAGGCCTAAAATTCATGTTTTTTAACTAGATCCACAGTACTCTATGCTGGTGATACAAATTATTAAGCAAATCAAAGCTCATTAGTCACCCATTAAAAGATTTATAAATAAAGCACATACTCTGCTAAGTTTCTAACAGAGAGAGGGAGAGGGAGAGGGGAGGAGGAGGGGGGAGGGAGAGGAAGGAGGAGGGGAGAGATAGAGGAGGGAGAGGGGAAAGAAGAGGGGAGGGGGAGAGGAGGAAGAAAGGGAAGGAAAGAGGAAGAGGGAGGGAGAGGAGGGAGGGGGAGGGGGAGGGAAGGAGGTGGGGGAAGGAGGGGGGAGGGGAAGGGAAAGGGAGGAGGAGAGGGAGGGGAGGAGGAAGGGGAGGGGAGGAGGAGGGGTATTGGAGGAGGAGGGGTATTGGAGGAGGAGAGGGAGGTGAGGAGGAGGGGGACAGGAGGAGGAGGGGAGGGGAGGAGGAGGGAAAGGGAGGAGTTGGGGGGAGAGGGGGGAGGGGGAAGGAGGAGGGGAGGGGGAGGGGGAGGGGGAAGGAGGAGGGGGAGGGAGAGGGGGAAGGAAGAGGGGGAGGGGAGGGGGAGGGGGAAGGAGGAGAGGAAGGGGAGGGGGAGGGGGAAGAAGGAGAAGAGGGGGAGGGGGAGGAGGAAGGAAGAGGGGGAGGGGAGGGGGAGGGAGAGGGGAGGGGAGGGAGAGGGGAACAGGAGGGGGAGGGGAGGAGGAGGAAGGAGGAGGGGGAGGGGAGAGGAGGAGGAGGAGAGGGGGAGGGGAGGATGAGGGGAAGGGGAGGGGGAAGGAGGAGGGGAAGGAGAGGGGGAGGGAGAAGGAGGACGGGGAGGGGTGGAGGAGGTGAGAGGAGGGGGAGGTAGAAGGAGGGGAGAGGAGGAGGAGGAGAGGGGGAGGGGAGGAGGGAAAGGGGAGGGGGAGGGGACGGAGGAGGATAGGAGGAGGGGAGAGGAGTAGGAGGAGAGGGAGGGGAGGAGGGGGTGGAGGGGAGGGAAGGAGGAGGAGGAGAGAAGGAGGGGGAGGGGTGGAGGAGGGGAGGGGGAGAAGGAGAAAAGGAGGGGGAGAGGAGGAGGAAGGGAGGGGGAGGGGAGGAGGGGGTGGAGGGGAGGGAAGGAGGAGGAGGAGAGAAGGAGGGGGAGGGGTGGAGGAGGGGAGGGGGAGAAGGAGAAAAGGAGGGGGAGAGGAGGAGGAAGGGAGGGGGAGGGGAGGAGGGGGTGGAGGGGAGGGAAGGAGGAGGAGGAGAGGGGGAGGGGGAAGTGAGGGGGAGAAGGAGAAAAGGAGGGGAGGGGAGGAGGAGGAGGGGAGGGGGAGGGGAGGAGGGGGGAGGGAGGAGGAGGAGAGAAGGAGGGGGAGGGGAGGAGGAGGAGGGGAGGGGGAGGGGAGGAGGGGGGAGGGAGGAGGAGGAGAGAAGGAGGGGGAGGGGAGGAGGAGGAGGGGAGGGGGAGGGGAGGAGGGGGAGGGGAGGAGGGGGTGGAGGGGAGGGAAGGAGGAGGAGGAGAGAAGGAGGGGAGGAGGAGGGGAGGGGAGAAGGAGAAAAGGAGGGGGAGGGGAGGAGGAGGGGAGGGGGAGGGGAAGGGGAGAGGAAGGGGAGGGGAAAGGGGGAATAATTAGGGAAGAAGGAAAAGGAAAGAAAAGGGGAGATGGAGGCCAAACCTCCAGGTATTTTCCTCAAATGTTTGTATACCCTAATAAATTGTAGAGAAAAGTAACACTGTTATTTAAACACTTAAGTAATTACTTGCCAGTAAAATAAAAACAACAGGTGAATTTCAACTTTCTTAATTAACCTTACTACATATACATATATGTACACACACACACACACCACACCCCTTTAGGGCTGACTTCCATGTCACAACTTTGAATTACCACTCCTTTTCCTGCTTGGAGAAGGGTTCTACGGCTGATACCAATGGTTCCATTTAGACACTGGAGGTTAACTAGGATAACAATCCACACTCATTACTTCCTCACGCACACAGGTTTGTCTCCACAGTCCAAGAGAAAACTAGAGGACAGTGACCCATGTCTCGTTCATATTTGTATGCCTCACAGTGCTAGAGTCTACAGAATGTGTTGCACAAAAGTGGGCACTAAAACAGAAATGTTGACTGTTAATAAAACAATATGCATGTACATATTTAGAGAGAGAGCTACAAAATTCCAGAATGCAACAGACCAATTTTCTAATTCCTAAACATCCCAAAGAGGGCAGAGATGAAATAACTTAGTGCCACTACGTATCCAAAGGCTTACGTGAGGCCTCGATTTTCTCATCTGAACAATGAGGATAATAAGAGCACCTAACTCACATGGTTTTTAAAGGATTAAAGAACTTGGTATGCCTGGAACACTACAGGCTACATAAGGGTTAGCTACTGATATAACTGAAAAAGACTATTACAGTAAAAGTAAGGCCATTCAGTCCCACAAAAGAGGCCAAAAGGGTAAAAGAAATTATTCTAGAATATATAAGGTCAGGGATTGGCAATTTTTTTTTTCTATAACAGGCCAGATACTACTGTAAATATTGTGGCTTGTCAGGCCAAGAGACAATATCCACAACCCCTGGAGAACAACCTTTCTCCCAGAAAGGCTAAAAGGTCTGTCGTTTGTTTACATTTTACATATTAAAACTCTTTTTTTTTTTTTTTACATATTAAAACTTAAGGGCCATTCTTCGTACGCGGGCCCTCACCAAAACAGGCTTGATTCGGACCCAAGGACATAGTTTGCCGACCGCCCAGATAAGATTATAACGATGATAACACAAGTTAGTGCTTTTAAAAGGTAACATAAGGGAAACGTTTGTGAGTTGATTAAAGTTGAGTGAACAACGTGCTGCCCCCAAACTTCTAAGCCCCAGACATGGCTGGCGAGGCGGGAGGAGGTCGGGACGGGAAAGGGCCTCGGATGCAGGCACAACGTTCGCTGCACGGCTCTCGCGGTCCGGCCGAGCCCTCTGCCACACTTACTCCCAGCAGCGGCCCGCGGCCGATCACCGTCTCCCCGGGCGCCAGGGCCACCCGGGGGCCGCCGTCCTGCGGCTGCAGCTCAAAGACCCCGGACATGGCGGCGAGGATCAGGCTCCTTCGCAAGGAGACGGCCCCCGCAGCCGTTTCCGCCTTCCAGAGACACTCTCGGGGCCTACACAGGGCGCCCCGGAAAAACACAGGGGGAGGGGAGCTAAGATCTGCTGGGGTGTGTCAGGTCCTCGCGCAGCAGGGGCCTCAGCGATCTGAGCGACGCGTTCCCGGCCCCGCCCCTCCACTCCACTCCGACCAGTGACGCAATCAGGGATTCCCCCCTCTCACCAACTCCCAACTATTGTTTAAATGCCCCGGGTAAGCCCACCCCCTCCCCCCTCACCGCCCACCTGTCTGGAGGACACCGGACCTTGTAGTCCACAGCCTGCTCCTCGCCCTCCCTGGCGCGGCGGGGACGCCCCAGTGAAACTACCAATCCCACAAGGCAGCGCGCGCTGCTCTCTACGCTTGCGCGGAACCCAAATCAGCCAGGCGGGGCCAGAGTGGGCGAGACCCGAAGGATTATGGAAAAGCACTCAGTGGCCGGAGGATTTAAATCGCAGGAGGAGCAGCCGGCTGGTTCCAGCAGGTAGGAGGGCTTCCTTTCCCTTCCAGTCGGCGTGCGGCTGTCAGTCTAGGCGGCGCGGCCCTCGCACCGGCGCGGCGTCCGCTCTGCAGCGCAGAGCTGAAGTGACAGTCGGTGCTCAGAGTTGTTGTTGTTGTTGATTTGTCAGTGCCCCGTGTTCTTTCAGTTCTGGCTGCTGCAGCCTGCGCGGGGCACGCGAGAGGGGTGGCTCAGATGGGACGCGGGGTCATTCATTCCTTCCCATTTGCGGCGTCTGGCCAAGGTTGGGGCTCCCGAGAGCCGGCAGGCGCCCGCGGCTTGCTCTGTCCTGCCTCCCGATCCAGCTCCCTGTGTGTGACACCTGGAAGGGGGCGACCCTTCCCTCACTTGAGAGGTAATTCGGCAAAGTTTGCTTCGTAAAGAAGAGGTGGGAAGGGGATAGTTTTTCAGGCTTCCAGGCAAAACTGGATTTAGAAGAAATATGCCTAGTGGGATTTTAGGAACCTCACCAAGGCACCCCCGACTGTTAAATCCAAAAGCCTTCTTCTGACTCTTGTTGAGTAGCTAACGAGAAGGAGCATTTTATTCCCCAGTTAGATCGTGGAAGTAGGAACAAACAAATAGTAATGCTCTTCTACTATGAGATCCTTTTCATGACCATGGTAGTTTAGCTTTGGTTTGTATTGATGGTGAGAAGTGGGAGGTTCGTGGCAAAAGCTTGCGGTTGACTCACGAACTTGTTTTTACCACTTTGCTTTCTTACTTCCCCAAACCCTCAAGAGGAGGTCCTCTGCTGAACACGGGGATTAAAATTCTAACCACCATAGTTAATTTGGATCATAAACAACCAAACGAATGGAAACAACTGTGGTCTTGGTAAATCCAGAAACATATAGGTGAGTAGCTGATCTAGAAGGAGGAATTGTTATGAGCTAAGTTAAAAGAAGTATGTACCGTAGCTGTATCTCAAACCCATCCTCTGATACCATCACTCCCTATTATAAAAGGAAGTGCAAAATGGAATAAACTGATTTTAAGTAAGTATATACTGTCTTTATATGCAAAAATAGCTCCATGCTTTCAACTGATTTTGGAAGCCTGTACCATGCACCTTAAGTAAATCAGCTGAAACCGGACTTTTTTTCTTTTTTTCCAGTAAGGAAAAAAAAGTCTTTACCTATGCATTAGTTTAATTTATAATTACATTTATATAAAACACTTCCAATATAGGAATTGGTGATAAAATTAATAGTACAAAATTTGTTGTTTATTTTTATTGACTTTATTGGGGTGACATTGGATAATAAAAGTATATAGGTTTCTGAGGTACAGTTCTATCATACATGATCTGTATATTATGGTCTGTGTTCACTACCCCATTCTTTTTTTTTAAATATGTTTTTACTGATTTTTTTTTTTTTTTTTTTAGAGAGAGAGGGTGAGAGAGAAAGAAACATTGATGTGAGAAACACTGATTGACTGCCTCCTGCATACCCCCTACTGGGGATGGAGCCAGTAACCTGGGCATGTGCCTGACTGAGAATTGAACTGAGACCTCCCAGTCCAGGGGATGACCCTCAATCTACTGAGCCACACCGGCCCAGGCCACCACCCCAATCTTTAGTCACATACTATACCTATCTGAATAATAAACATTGTTTACAGTGGGTAGTCACTGTTGGTCCATAGCCCTGTTGCTTTTACCCTTGGCTCATAATTAACTGTGCAAGTAGGATAGCTTCAGGAGTACATTTCTAAGACACTAATATTACCAGTGAATTGAATATTTGAGACTTTGTGTCATTGTAACCCTGACTTCAACCTCTTGTCCATTTCAGATAGTGTTTGTGTCCAATGTGAGCACCTACCCGTTAGATACAAGTAGGTAAACAATTCTTATATAAACTACTAAATGTCCATCAGGTTTATAATTAATTCACAAATTGTAGAGGAAGAACTTAATCATCAGTTCCCACAGACAATGAGTTTTCAGGACCTTAAAAGAATTGATTCATGTACATTTTCAATAAATACTTAGAATGTGTTCTCACAATAGGCATTTCTACTAAACTCAATAAATTATAGTCTATGAAGAATCACTTTTCTTTTTCTTTTTTATTTTTATTTTTTATTTTAAACATTTTTTTTTTTATCCTGACCCGAGGACATTTTTTTCCATTTTTTGTTCAGATAGAGTGGGAGGGAGAGAGAGAGAGGGGAGAGAAACATTGATGTGAAAGGGACACATCAAGTGGTTACCAATCAGGGCCGGGGACAAACTGCAACCAAGGTACACGCCCTTAGCGGGAACCAAACCCGGGTCTCTCTGGACCACAGATCGATGCTCTAACCACTCAGTCAAACCGGCCAGGGTTCACTTCTCGTTTTTAGATAATGTTCTTTGGGAGCAAGCAGAAAGATAAATATTTAGTAACAAGCCTATTTACTAACAATATTAAAAAGAAGAAGAGAAGTAACATTTGTTGAGTGCCTCCAATGTGCAGTTTAGATGTGAGCTAGATGATTCACACTTACCCCTGTTAATCCTAGCAAGAACATACATTAGAGGAGCATTATTGACCCCATTTTACAGGTTGAACAGCTCAAGATTTTCAAACCATTCCCAGAAAGTTAGCTGGCTCAGTGTAGGACCTATACTCTGATCTAAAGAGACTAAGATTAAACTCTGCCTTTTAGGTTACCTGTGAGGATAATTAACTAAAACATCAAGCTATGCAGAATAACTCCGAGAGGAACCACAATTCAAGAGTTTCTGACATAGAACTGAACTCTGTGGATGCTGAGAATAGTCAAAATAACTTTTTTGAACGGCTGCCTGAAGAAGTTATTCGACAAATTTTCAGTTCGCTGGACATGCAGAGTTTGTGCAGGGCTTCAATGACATGCAGGAGGTGGTATGACATAACAAAAGACAATGACTCCTTATGGAAACCTCATTGCTTGGCTCTAAGAGCTGTGTGCAAACGAGAAATAGATGATGATCAAAAAAGTGGTTATTCCTTCAAGGTAAGTTTAATTTTTGTGGTCTACAGTGTTCTTTACAAAATGTAGGTTTGAACCAAACTCTACTTTCTGCTTGGATGAGGTAGGATTTCATATACAGAATGACATACAGAGTGTGTTGGCTTTTGAACTTAAAGTTGAGTTATTATTCTTTTCCTGCAAACTACGCTGTCTATCATCCATCCTTTAACATTTTTAAAATCTTGAATTTGGGCATTTTCCTCTGTTAACCAGAAGGAAAGTGGCTTCTTCTTTTCACATTATCCAAAACCCCTAGCAAACTCTGCAGTTCACACTGTATGTATGTATATATATATATACACATATATATCTGCACACACACACACAAATTTAGTAGTATATATGTATATCAATATAAATACTTAATCTGCTTTTCATCCCTGTCAATCAGCTTCTCTGGTTTCAAACAAATTCAACTCACCAGGCAGCAGCCTTCTGTGATGATACTGGTTTGGCTCTTTCAGGACACACTATTGAGGAATTACCAGAAGAGTCAAGTGAAACTTCACTGGCTAAGTGGCAGATACAGCAACATATGTTCCCCTGATAACCTACCAGAAGCAATCATGTGCCCGATGGATGCAGAAACGTGGGGGGAAATTCTGGAAGTCGAAATGGAAAGACCCAATCACAAACAGATCTCATAACCAGGAGAGTCTAAAACTAAGATGACTCTTAGGTTGCAAAAGATATATTTTTATCCATCCATTTTTTGTTCACCTTTTTTAAATGTTTAACATGTAAAAGACTACTATGTAGTACATGTTGTAAAAGTCAAGCTTTTTTTTTACTTGGCACTTTAGTCAAAAATATTTTTCTGGTTTTACTGTTATGTGGGAAAATCATGCAATACTTTTTATATAAGACATAATGTACCAGTAGAATGATTCCAAAATGTATTGTTTCATGTATTTGTGTTAGTGTATTGTCGTACTTCAATGATAAGAGAGTTTGGTATTTTCTGCTTAATGATAATTCAAAAATTCAGGAAAACATTTGAAGAAACTGTCTTAGAGATCATTAAATAGTAGCCATAACTAGGCTCATATGAAGATTACCTAAATGAAATTAATTGCAGTATGTTTAAATGTATAATAAATTTATATTTCAGTAACTTTAAAATATCCATTTCAGTTAAATTAGATTGAATTGTTAAACGTTGAAACCATTTTTAAAATGTGCTAAATTTGTGGTTTAGTTTCAAATTAATCTGACCAAAGGGCTAAAACTTGTCAGATTAAGGTTCCCATTACTTGACTACAGACTTGGAATTGCTCTCAGGGACTGAAAAGTTATGGAAAGTTTTCAGAACATTTTATTACCACCAGAGCTGCCATCCCATCTTTCTTAGCAAAACTCTCTTTCTGACAGCCAAATAGCGCCATCTAGTGTACTACTCATAGATGATCAAGACGAAGGACAGCTCCTTTTTTTCCTCCACATTTAAAAGAAAGAAAAATATTGTTTCAGAGAACACTAAATAGCTGACTCTGTTAACGTTTATAGCTTTCCAGGAACCTTTAATTTAACTTTTGTTCTCTTTTTCGTAAAAGTAGGTGATATAGTATTCACTATACCAGCTTGTTCATTCTGAATCTGTAGCCAGCACCATAGTAGGTATCTACAAAGCATTTTAATTAGTATGGGATTTTCTTCTTAAACTGTGCTTTATAGCATGAAAAATAAGAATCCAGGAAACCAGTATTTAACAAATAGGAAAATATCAGAAAGATGCCCCATACTCTACAACTTCCCTGTGTTAGATCAATCGGGTGATGATTGATTGTCTCTTATCTTCTTAGAGTTGGAAGAGGCCTTAACAATCACACAGTCCAATTTCTAAGACTGTTTGTCAACCTCCTCTTTAGGAGTGTTGTTCCTATCACCCACCGTTAATTCCTTTCTTGGCAATCTCTTTTGTAAAACGTATCATTTTGATCTGGAAACCATCCCTAACTTCTACCATTCTGGATTAAGTGTACCTCTTAAGGTTCCTAGTAGTTCTTTTTACATACCACTCTCAAAGCTGTCATAGTACTTTAAATTGTCTATTTTATCTGTCTGTCTTCCCCTTTAGACTGTGAGCTTCATAATGGCAGGTAGCATTTATTTATTTTTGTGTTGCCAAAGCCTGGAAAATAGTAGGTATTTCATAAAGATTTATTAAATTATTTCTGTATTATTTATTTTAATTCTACCCAGAATATATAACAAAAATAATTTACTATATTGTTAGTAGACAAGTATTGAATGAATGTAAAACTCATAAGATATGTGGTATGCTTGATATTAATGCTAATATATGAATAATTGTTCTAGTCTTCTCTAAAGCTATAAGAGAAAAGGAAGAAAGTAGAAATATTTTGCTTGATTTTTTAAATAAATACTTGAAAATACATTTATATCATTTATGACTTTTTTTTTATCTTCACCCGGACATTTTTGCATTTATCTTCAGATAGAGTGGGAGGGAGGGAGGAAGAGAGAGAGAAACATTGATGTGAGAGAGAGACATCAAGTGGCCGCCACCCACACAAACCCAACAGGACCAGGGACAAACTGCAACCAAGATACGTGCCCTTAGCAGGAACCAAACCTGGGACTCTCTGGTCCACGGGCTGATGCTCTAACCACTGAGCAAAACCAGCCAGGGCTCACTTACGACTTTTAAATATTGGGTCACACCAATCAATTTTAAGTATTACTTTTACAAGTTATTGAATAATTTTTAGTATGGTTTTTGTAACATATAAATAATTCTTTATATAATAAGTTATGAGCTATGATCACGGTCTACACTGAAAGGAAAGTTTTGGAACACACGATAAATTTTGGTATGGCTTAGCATGAACTGTACATTTATCAGACTGAGCCATTAGCATCTGGAAACCTGAGTGGGTAGTATAATATGGGAGGAATTCTCTAAGTCATAGAAAAAAAATAACATACTAAGTATACACAGTTTGTAAAAGAGGCAAGATTATTGGAATTTCCAGTGTTTTTAAATATTTAATCAGTTTGAAAAACCTGAGGAACAGGCTGGCTTTCTTTCTTAAAATTGTCTTATAATATCTTCCACTGATTAAGTACCTTTTTCATGGCAAATTAACTCATCAAACAATCTCAAAAGGTAGTTTTTTTAACATTAATATTTTAAAAATATTTTTATTGATTTTTAGAGAGAGAAAGGGAGGAGGAGAGAGAGAAACATCAGTGTGAGAGCCTAACATTGATTGGCTACCTCCTGCAAGCCCCCTACCGGGCATGGAGCCCACATCCCAGGCATGTGGCCTGACCGGGAATCGAACCAGCAACCTTTTGATGCACGGAACAACACCCAACCAACAGCCGCCGGGGCTTAACATTAATATTTTAAAGATGCAAAAATTGAGGCTCGCAGAAGCAAAGTAACTTGAGTAAGGCCAAACAGCATGTACTTTGAAGAGTGACTTGGAAGCTGTTTCTGCGGCACCATCCTGGAGAGCTGGGCGATGCTAAAGGGCTTCCAGCAGAGGGAGGTATATTTCTATTGAAACCAAACCGAGAGCATAAGCATGAGAAAGTTCCTCATTGCAGCTGGGTTTGCTAATCTCAGAAGTCAGAATTTGTCTGAACCCTTTTAATTACGAATGACAGAACTGAAACGGTGAGAGGGTTGGGCTGGGAATGAAGTGTGGCTTTCCTAGGGAGGGTAGAGCCCCAAAATGATGAGCAGCCTCTACAGCTAGAAATGTAAGATGTCAGGGAATATAATACTCCAATGAGTACGATTTCTATTGCTCTCTGCCTTCAGTCCCGACCTGACCACCAAATAGTTTTCTACTTTAATCTCCAAAGGCACAATTAAGAACATATGAATTTAATTTTGCACTTTTTGTCCAAAAAAGAATGTCCAGTTATTCTGTGCAGATGGGTTTTTTTTTTAGGAGTATTATTTCTTTTCCACGGATTTGTTCTTTAAATCTTCATCCCAGTGTCTCCACTGATTCTGTAATTCTATGATGTTGGGCTCTAAGTGTGAGTATATTCCACTGAAGTAATTATGTGAACTCTGAGTGATTTTGTTCCAAAATCTTAGAATTTGACATTTATGGTTTAACAGTCTTTAGGTGTAAAGAAATTCCTCACCCTTTTACTAACATTGTGAATAAATTCTACTTCTAAATATGAAAAGACTAACTGTGAAAGGAATTCACCCAGGAGTGAAAACACTTCTAGAATTATGTTTTTATTCTTTTCTTTTGAAGTTCATTTAGGCAGAAATTTGAACAAGGACCCTTTGGGAGTTGAGCAAGGTAATCAAAATTTAAATGCAAGATTCCATTTCATTTAAAAATAAACCGGCCACTTTTAAACTTTGAAATCCATCTCCTGGATTAAACACTGTATTATGTATAGAATATCCACATCTCAAAATGGAAAGCAAAATATACCCAAGTATCATGTATAGTTTTATCTCAATATGACTTTGAATATAATTTATTCTACTATCATGACCCTGTCTAAAGCACAGTATATTTGTGATACAAGTCACCACTCAAGATCAAGGTTTATAAATAATAATAGCTACTCTAAGGTGAGTGCTTACTAGATGTTATCCTCCCAATAACCCTTAGAGATATTCCATGCCTGCAACTGTCCCTCATTAACTGTGTGGGCAAGTTATCATATTTTCATTTGTAAAATGAAGATCACAAAAGTATCCACTTCATGGAACTGTTATGAGAATTAAGTCATGTTCCATCTCCCCATCCCTGAACCCTTGCCTTAGTCATTATTAATCTACTTTCTGTCTCCATAGATTTACCTACACTGGATATTTCATTTTGAGTTAATGTTTGCCTATGGTGTGAGGTTGGCATATGTATATGACTCTTCAGTTGTCCCAGCACCATTTGTTGAAAAAGTGTTCTTTTCCCATTGAACAATCTTGGCACCCTTGTTGAAATCACTTGAGTGTGGAAATATGGGTTCATTTCTGGACTCTCAATTATATTCCATTTATCTATCTATCTATCTATCTATCTATCTATCTATCTATCTATCATCTATCCATCCTTATGCCAGTACCCCCATGTCTTGATTACTGGAGTTTTGTATTAAGTATTGAAATCGAGAATCTTTGTTCTTTTTAAAAATTGTTTTGGCTGTTCTGAGTCCCAGGAGGACAGTTTTTAACCTTACCATAGCTAGGAAAGTGTTTCATAAGAGAGAGAAAACTGTCTCAGAGGAAGCCTTCTGGGTGATCAGGCTGTCTTCCCTACCAATCCCAGACTCAAGTATCTCTCTTCTGTAGCTAAAGTTGCAGAAGGCGTTAACAGTACGTTCATACTCAGAAATAACAACCCATGCAGTATTTTCTGTATTACCCAATTTTCTGCAGTGACACAGGAACAGAGGTAGGGCAATAGAATATTAACACCAGTTAGTAGTGATGCTTCAAGCTGATTACTCACTATAGACCGATAGGCCTGCCACTGGCATGAAAGAGGCACTTGAGAGACCCTAGACCCTGGCCGTTCAGGGCATCTCTGCCCTCAAGAAGCTCTCTGGAGACTCCCAACCCATGGGAGTTACTTCAGCCCCGAGGCCACTCGTTGTAATTCCTGTGACCTGTCGGCTTTATTTCTTTTAAAATAATGAGAGCTTATTTTTCCAAACCTTCATTCCACAAATACTTGGGAATGTGTAGTTTAATTTTGACGAGTTTTAACATTTTGATTTTGTGTACTTCGTTCCTTAGTCTTTTGCCACCTCTCTGTTTTTGTTCTCTATATTTATCCTTTAGTTTATTTTAGCTCTGCCAGATTTGACCCTTCTAAATCTTGAGTTTTACTTTTCACCCTACCTATTCTTGACTTTGCAATGTATATTTTATTCTTTTTATGTCCTTTATTTAGCCCTATTTTTTTTTTTTCAGTCCTCACCTAAGGATATTTTTCCATTTATCATCAGATGGGGAGGGGCATCAATGTGAGAGACACATCGATTAGTTACTTCCTGCATGACCCCGACCAAACCACAACCGAGGTACGTGCCCTTTACCAGAATTAAACTCGAGACTCTTTGGTCCACAGGCCAACACTCTAACCACAGAGCCAAAATGGCCAGGGCTAGCCCTAATTTTTATTTTTAATCTGTTTCTTTAACCCTCTAGTTATGTACCTTTGAAACTTTTCTTCTGAAAAAATAGATATGTTTTTGTTGATTTTAGGAAGAGAGAGGGAGTGAGAGAAATATCTATGAATAAGAAACATGGATCAGCTGCCTCCCACATGCCCCCTACTGGGGATTGAGCCTGCAACCCTGGCATGTGCCCTGACTGGGAATCGAACCAGTGACTCCTCGGTGCATGGGAGGATGCTTAAGTTTGCCAGGGCAAACTTACTTTTTTATTTTTAACCAAATCTATTACTTTAATTTTTCTGAATACTTCTTGGCTCAGTCCTTTTATTTAAAGTTCCTTTTTAATTTTTTAACTTAAATTTCTGTTCATGTCGTTTTTTTTTTTTTTTTAAAAATGTATTCTTTTGTCCATGGTAATTATTTAAATCTTTATTTTTTTTTCCTTTTTTTAATGCCCGAGCACTAATGGTGGGCAGGATCTAAGGGTCTGGAGTAACACGGCTGTGGTTCAGTCCACACCACGAACAGGAATGTTAGATACCTTTTTCCTTCTAGCCATCTCTGTGCTTGCCCCTGTGGCTCAGTGTTTTCCTCTAAAAGTAAATATTAACTGAGTTATATCAGAGCCTCGGAAATGACAACTCCCTTGCATGGCTCTGAGCTTCCTATTTATGTAGGCTGCGTATATGAAATTCCGGAATGAATGCCTTTTGTAAGGAGTCACATGTTCTCAATTCTATGGTCTCAGACATGTACCACTAGTCTACATAAGGGTAGGAGATTTTGGCAGAAAGTCCCTCTTCTTCCTCCACTTTCCTCCATCCAGTGAACCATGGATGCAGCTGCTCAAACAAGAACTCCATGAAATATCCGTCCTCGAGTTCTGTCCTTTCTTCCTCCACGTGTCCCACATTCGACCCCTTCTCTTCAACTTCACTGCTCACCTAGGCTACTGCCATGTAGCCCCAACTTGGCTTCTAATCTTGATCCCTCTATCCTTTTCCATATGGCAGCCAAAGGGATTTTTTTAAATATCAAATCATATCACTCCCTACCTAAAACCTGTCAGTATTTTTCCATTGTACCGCAAATAACTCAGAGCTTTACCAGGGCCCTCACTCCATAACCTGCTCCCTGTTGAGCTTGT